AACAAGAGACGTAAAGGCATTTGTTTGAAATCATTCAGTGACTTTGAATTGGTCAGATTGGGCACTAGTACAATTATTGAATCTTTTTACAGACTTCTATAATGTTAAGGGTGTTTAGAAAATAAAGAAAATGTCTGCAATGTCTGGAAGTTGTAAAACAAAGCTTTTAGGAATAGCCCTTTAATGCCAACATTTCTAAATTTTTTTAAGATCAGGTAAGAGCTTCAAGCTTATTCTTTTTTAAATATATTGTTGTGTAAATTAGGGACAGAATGTCTGACACCGACCGGAAAACTGAAATCATGAATATTAAAACAATCATTATACACATTTAGTTCATAAGAAAAGCTGAATATTTCAGGAAAGTTCTTTTTTATTTAGTATTTGTCTGTTTTGCAAACCCATTGTGTTATAAAGTGGGAAAAGGCTTCACAAAACTGAAGCCCTTTCCTATTTTCTGCTATTTTGACAATTTTCCTTTATGTTAAAAGTCTGTGAGTGTTTAAGGTATCTTTGCCTTCACCTTAAAGTGCAACTCACTCCATGTGAAAACATAATCTTAGCCCAGATGAACTTTAGAAAATGCCACTAAAATGGTTTGTCTTAAGAGACCCTTACAGGCGTGACTAACTGTCGGGATGAGCAGTTGGGATTTAGTTTGTACTATGGTTGACATTTTCAATAGCCAATCAGCCTGTCACCAGACAGGTCATATCAAGTTGGACATTTTCCCATTTCTCACTCTGAGTCAGCAGTGAGTTCATAAATAGCTCGTAATTGTGTTGATGCCATTAGAGTCATTTATCGTGCCCCATCTCTTCTTGTTTTACTCTAGACGTGTTTCCATTTGTGTACTGAAAGGATTTTGTCAAATGTGGAGTTTGGTAGATATATGAAAACAGAGCCCTGTGACATTAAAACTACCCAGGGAAGACAGATGTAAAGATGTGCGGGATGGATGAGTGCCTAAAGAGGACAGGGGCCATGGTACCAAATCCAAGGGGAAATGTTCAGGTTTTCCTGGTGGAACTTAACCTCATCAACAAAACATTATATGGCAGCTTTGGTGCATCATCATTAGCAATATTTTTATAGCCTGTAAATTCTATTACCCCTACACCTTTTTTGGTCCTTCCCTTTTTTAGCTGCTATTTTTCCCAGCTGTCCATTTGGAATCTGTCAGGACCCTGCATATCTCTCTTGAGGCTTATTACAAGTCTGATGCATTTCCTACCCAGTCGATGACCTATAATACCTGGTGTTTACAAAGGTGCAGCAGATAGCATAAGCAGCATATCCTGTAATTTACTTTATGGGGAATCAATTTGATTGGAACTGCACCATCATTTTCAATGTAGCCTCTCTATCCCCTTCCATTGTATGCTGCCCCTGTCAGCTTCGCCCCTTACCTTTCAGTCCCAGACCCTCTCGCCTCTTCAAGTGTTTGATTCAAATAGATTTGCTCCTGGATAAGGGAGGGGGGAGAGACACACACAGAAGGAAGAAAATAAACAGATAGGGCTATTATTCATGCCTGCCATGAAGCTATGGCAACAGAATCCTCCTGTTCTGATTGGTCATAGATAAGGGTGTTTTTTTTAGCAACATTTACACCCTGGGGAATCTGATTTATATACTTTTGAATCACATTTTAACTGGTGTTCTCCTTTTCCTTTTAGTATTCCTTTATTTAGAAAAACAAAGTTTATCTATATCTGAAATAGCTGGGACTTGATTTAATGTTTCCATAAAGTTTTATCAAAAGTCTTAATACTGTGTTAATATCAAAGTGAATTACTACAACATATGCATGTTAAAACAAGGTTTTTTCTATGCCATGCTGTCCTGCATAGCGGCTATCACTCTTACAATAAAACAGTTTAACGATACTGTGATTTATATCATCATATAACATCCTAACCTTTAGTGTGTGGGCTACTGCCAAAACAAGCTCAGCATTCCAGCAACTACCTCCTACTCATCTCTGTAAGTTGTGCTGCTTGGAGATTTGGGTTAATATATCTATTGCAGACAATTGCTAGTAAGTAAGCATGTATTTTATACTCCTTAAAGGCATTTGGAGATCATCAGCTGTCATTTTTATTACTCAGTGGTGTATTTGGTTAAGATTCAAGCGCCGTAAAGAAATTTTGGTATGTTGGAGATTTTTCAGCATCATGTATTCTGCTCTCAGGGCTAACATGTTGTCCTTGATTTTAGATTCAAATTTGAAGCACCTTTCAGAGCCTAGCTGGATTCAGAAGCTGCTTTCTGAGGGCCTCAGCCTTCAAAATGCCAGAAGTCATTTAGACGTTTTTTTCAAGGCTAAATCTGGTCGGTCCATCACAGTCTTGATTTAGTCCAGAAGTAATTGTTGAAAATTGGGCTATGTTTGTTCGGTCTGGTTTTTTTCGCACTTTAGTCCAATAATAGATGTGAAAAGTCATTGCAAACCCAGTTTTCAACTCCTTTTCAATTATCTAAAAATTACGGCTTTTCACTTTTCATCCAATTATGGAAGCTGTTTGGACGTAAATCAAGTTGTCTTTACAATGTCTTTTCAACTATTTTTTTCGTGGTGTAAGATATTTCTGTCAATCCATGATGATTAGTTTCACTTCAGCAGTCAGGAGCACATTTAACTACGGACATGATCTACTAAAGATTAGCATATAAAAAATCTCATGCAAACAAGATAGCTCATAGACTGACCAGGTGCAAATGAAATTGAGGAGGATATGCAAATATTTTTTTTTTACCATCCTAAATGCAATGAATCTAAAAGGAAACTTGTTTGCAAGCCTTTTCTAGTTCTATATTTGGCACATTAGACAGTCAGTTCATTGTGACGAGAAGTTAGCAGAGGGGAAAAACAAGAGATGGACAAAATTTCATGTGTGCGTTAATATATTTGGACTTTCAGGAATTATGTAGTGATGTGCGACTTTTCAAAGTGCTTCACATGTTGTTAAATAGTTTTTTCGAATATTAATATTTATCAATTTTTGTACAATTCTGTCAGATATTTTTTAAAAATCAGCTCTACATCTTCCTCTTGTTTACCTTCCCCTTGTTTAAACCGACCACAGTATTGAACAATCTGCAGATGATTATTTGCTTTTCTGAAATTATTACTCACATTCAGAATTTTTTTTTTCTTTGAAACATTTCAGGTCTGGCTTCTAGCCAATAAGCTGCTGCTAAATATGACCAAATCACACTCAATCTTATTTCAGAAGAAAAAATTAATATCTAGCTGTGAGTTTAACTTACCTGCTGGAATCTTACACCAAATATTCTGGTATAGGACTTAGATATTTAGGCATATGTGACCCTACACTGTCTCACATCTCTAATATTCTCAGTAAGGAAAAGGATTCTAACCGAATGATTACTTCTTATTTTTAATTACTGTGTTATAATTAAGGACCCGAGTCCTTAATTATAACAGAAACCCGAGTCGTACGATTGTTTCCGTGAAATCCATTTTTCCTGAATAAAGGATGTATCTAAGGGCATTATCCTGCTTATACTATGGTCAATATAAATATTTAATTAATCAATTATTACTATTATGGTTGATTTTTTTTTTTAAGTTAAAATAATTTTTTTTTACAAGAAGCAGCTACGAGTGGAATATTTATTATCTTGTGACACTTTGTCAAGGTAACCGGTAGTTGCCACAGAACATGCAGCTTGGTCAGCTGCAGCTTAATGTTAGTTAAATGAAACAAAGCCAGGTTTCCTACAGCAGGTTTTAACTCTACAGCCAATCAGAATCAAGCATTCAGCATAGACCATGGTATAATTAATAAAAATACCACACCTACTAATCTCCAACAACTTACGGTAGTATATACCAGTTAGTATGGGGTTACTCTACTTGGGGTGACAGTGGCGTCAAATACATGAGTTTGGCCTGCAAAAGAAAGGTTGTCGATTTAAGTCCCCCGGCTCCGCCTTTAAAAAATTTGTTGTGTCCTTGTGCAAGACACTTCACCTTAATTACATACTGATGGTGCCACCATCATGGTGGTCAGACGGACTGGTGGCTGTTATGTATGGCAACCTCGCTTCTGTGTGTGGCTACAATGTAGCTTGCAACCAGTGTGTGAGTGAGTGTGTGTATGAACGGGTGAAATACTGAATGTATTGTAAATTGCATTGGTCAAGTCTCCTGACTTGAATAAGAACTACACAAGTACAAGCCTTTTGCTTTCTATGCCCTGTCTGTTGTACTAGCATCTGTCCTGGCTCACTCCATCCCACAGTTGATAATTTCACAGGTTATTTTTTTTTATTTTATATTTAAATTTATTAACTTCAGTCATCCTGATTATTTAAAAAAAGTATAGTTTCCTTTAAAATGTACAAAGTCAGCTGCCAGTAAAATAAATAAAAAATTTCAGGCTTCAAACATAAAGATATAAAATACACATTTTTTTTGAAGAATAAACAACAAGTGGGACGCACTGATTAAGTGGAGTGAGATTTTTTGCATATTTTTTACACTTTTTTAATAAATAGAAATGCTGAATTAAAAATTCATTCCTTAAGTTACTTTGTAGAGTCCTTTCAGCTGCAAATACAGCTGCAAGTCACTTGGGGAATGTTTATATCAGTTTTGCACAATGAGAGACTGAAATTTTTGCCCATTCTTCCGTACAAAACAGCTCGAGTTCAGTGAGGTTGAATAGTTTTCAGTTCTTAACACAGATTCTCAATTACATTCAGGGATGAGCTTTGATTTGGCCATTTTTCCACCTGGATAGGTTTATTTGTGAACCAGTCTACTGTTTTAAAGGGATATTCTAAGGAAAGTGAGGGAAATAAAAAAAACAGGTATAAAAATGTGCCATGACTTCTCCTTTGAATCATTGCTCACCACTTTCAATGCATTTTTTTCACAGCAAGTTCCAATGTTGTCATGTAAAGTTTAAGTGTCTTCTATTATTATATTCACTCTTTGCTAATATTTTTTCCCCTATTCTGTCTTTCAGATCTTGGCCATCATCTCAATTCTCTTCATTGTGCTATCTACCATTGCACTGTCTCTAAACACTCTACCAGAGCTGCAGGGCACCGATGAGTTTGGCCAGTCGACTGACAACCCACAGCTAGCACATGTGGAAGCTGTTTGTATTGCCTGGTTTACCATGGAATACCTGCTTCGTTTTCTCTCCTCTCCAAATAAATGGAAGTTCTTCAAGGGTCCCCTCAATGTCATTGACCTGCTGGCAATTCTGCCTTACTATGTCACCATCTTCTTAACAGAATCCAACAAGAGTGTTCTGCAGTTTCAGAACGTCCGCCGTGTGGTTCAGATTTTTAGGATTATGCGTATCCTTCGTATCCTGAAGTTAGCTCGTCACTCTACAGGTCTTCAGTCACTGGGCTTTACACTAAGGAGGAGCTACAATGAGCTGGGCCTGCTTATTCTTTTTCTGGCCATGGGTATCATGATCTTCTCTAGTCTTGTGTTTTTTGCTGAGAAAGACGAAGAAGATACAAAGTTCAAAAGCATTCCAGCTTCCTTCTGGTGGGCCACCATCACCATGACCACAGTAGGGTATGGAGATATCTATCCCAAAACGCTCTTGGGAAAGATTGTGGGGGGGTTGTGCTGTATTGCTGGAGTCCTTGTAATTGCCCTACCAATTCCTATCATTGTAAATAACTTCTCTGAATTCTATAAGGAGCAGAAAAGGCAAGAAAAGGCCCTGAAAAGAAGGGAAGCTCTTGAGAGGGCAAAAAGAAATGGTAGCATTGTTTCTATGAACTTAAAAGAGGCTTTTGCTCGTAGCGCAGAACTCATGGACGTAGTGGTAGAAAAGACGGAACGACCTCATGATAACCACCTTTCTCCAAGTCACTGGAAATGGGCGTCGAGAAGAGCTACATCAGAGACAAGTTCAAACCGTTCTTTTAACGCCCAAGAGATAGGCTCGCCCTGCAAAAATCGAGACACCAGTCCCCAAAGACTAAATGTTGAAAAACTAGAAGAGATGTATAGCCAAATGGCAAAGACACAGTCACAACCCAACCTCAATGCAAAAGACAGAGGTTCCAAAATTAGCAAACAGAGGGATGAGATAGAGCTTGGAGCCATTCATGACCATGGACCATCAGTCCTCGGAACCAAAGATGGAGTTGGGGACATGAAAAGCTTATCCAGCATTGATAGCTACATCAGTTGTGCTACAGACTTTCAAGAGAATCCACGCTATCCCCACAGTCCAGCACCAGACATTGGTCTTAAAGAAAGTAACCGCTTTAATTTTGGTCCAGTTACAGTTTTTTCTCAGCACATTTGTAAAAAGGTTGGCCAGCAAATCAAAGGGCAGCATGAGTCTGTGCAAAGTCCAACATCAAAGTCCTCTGGCCCAGAGAATACAAGAAGATTTTTCTTTTCTGGAAACTCCTCAAAAAGCCTTAAAGGAGGCTGCCGTAGCGATGGGGATTCTGGGCTTTCCCCACTTTCAGACAGCTCTGTTGTTTCAGACCAATCTCTGTTGAGCCCTGAAGCATCTGTGTACACCACTGCCAGCAGCAGGACGCCCCCAAAGTCACCAGAGAGTGCTGCCATGGCTCCAACAGTCTTCACTTTTCATGACTCGTCAATCAGCAAATACATTGACGCTGATACAGATGATGATGAACACCTCCGGGACATCACTGAGGCAAGTCCCTCAGATCGTCTGCTTGCTGCTGGCAGCCCAAAACGCAGTATTAACATAAATTACCAGAGAGGAACTAACCATTTAGAGGCAGCCCAAAAGATGTTGGGCCAGAACTGCTACTTTCCTCTTGAAGGTATTCGTGGAAAAGCTCATGAAAATCATATAGGTCCTGACCCAGCACGTAGACCAAAGGCTGAGCGAGGACGGCAAAATACCGTGGACAAAAGCCTTTGAAGCATAAGTTATCAGAGACATGTGGAAAGCTGTCAAACAAACTTCTGATGTCAAATAAAGGAGAGACAAAGAAAGGCAAAGAGAAAAAGGCTCTCTTATTTGCAAATAACCTGAGCGTGCAAATAGAGCAACAAGCTCTGGTTCGATACATGTTGGGAATACTTTGGAAGAAAAACCCCTTAAGTTGGACAATGTCACTGCCCCTTCTTTCAGTTCATTCCTGTGTGCTGTGTTCCACACCCTCAAAAGTAAAGAACACCCCCAGGTAGCCATTGAATTAGTCAAATGAAGCGGAGTTAGAAGAGAGGTTTTACTTTGACTATCATAGAACAACAAAGTAACACAACAAAATAATATTTTTAGCTAAAGCTATTTTCTCCATTTCCCATTAAAAACAAAGTCCACCTTCTTGTATTGACTGCCAATAGACATTTTTTTTACTCTTGGAGACCTACCAGGGGACCTAGAAGCCTATAAGCTACATATTGTGCCCTCCATTCTCAAACCTGGCCTTAATCATTTACATTTGTAAGAATGTGAGTGAGACAATTTGAATATGAATGGGTGAATTATGAGAAACTGATATAAAGAAAAATCTTAAAAACAGTCTAACCTGATTTATTTTTTTTATAGATAAGAGTCACTATATGGAAGTTATTTTTTAGTCTACCATGTCAGATTTCTATGTCATACGTGGGGTTTAGTGTCTGCAGTTGCAAATCATTTTTCATTACATGGGCCACCCTCTATTAAGCATCTGTCCTACTATCCTTTAGGGTAACATGTCTAAAAAATGGTTGAAAACAGAGTATCTGCCACAGAAAGGATTTTCGCAGTACCTCTGTAGTTTGTTTCATAATAATAAAAAATGGGTCTTGGGTTTTAGTTATGAGTTTAAAGTAAAATGAGAAATGCACATAAAATGCACACTAATCGCACATCCAGGAACCTACAACGTAGAAAATACATGAATTGGCTGGAAAAAATGGTTGAAGAAAACATTAAAGTAGACATTTCTAGAGGTATTTTGTGAATTACTGACTTACTAGATGAATGGACAGGTTCTCAGCAAGTGTTGGCCTTGATATGACTAACAAAGTTTTAAATAGCTGAATAATATACAAAACTTTGTCTTTTCTTTGTTTCACCTATGTTTTTAAAGGGATCAACTCTATTAGCACTGACTATATACAAGGATTATTTTTATAGTATCTATAAAGTATTGTCAGTGTGGATCCACCAAACACACAAATGCACGCACACACAAACCTGTTGAAGATTGATATAAGCTTTATAGATACTATTATTTTCCATAGTGACAGGAGTTGACAAAAGTATATTTTAAGAGCAAAGCAAAGACTTGTTATTTAGGGTTGGATGTTTGCATGTCACATGTGCTCTTAGGCATATATAAAAATCCTCACTGATAAAAGACATGTACTTATAATATGGAAGGTATCTATGATAGTTGCATGTCAAAATCACTCCTCACTCATATAAACACTATGTCATTGCAAATGTGTGCTAGAAGCCTATAAAATTAGAATAAAAACTCCATATCCACCATTTTTATATCTTTATATCATGTCTTCAAAAATTTAGTTAACTCTCCACTACCTGTTTACACTTTCATGTTTAGCAATGTCCTGTTTGGCATTGGGGAAAAAGTGCTGACCCCTCCTGTGTCAAAACTTTACCAGAGTAAATACAGAAAAGCTGTTTTCAAGTGATAATTTGCTTTTTCCCCTATTTTAACCTATACAATTCCTGCAATTGACCACAATGTTTATTTTATAAATTTTTTTTTTAAGTCAACCTCATAGCTGATTATGATTAGAATTATAAATAAATAATAAAAAAATAACACTTCAATAGTATATCTTACAACATAAAGTGTAAAAACAATATGTCGTAATACAGTTAAGAGGTTAGTTTGAAGGAGGCACTCATGCTCAAACCTTACAATGTTTTGGAATAAAACATCACTGTAAAGAAGAGTGGCTCAAATTTCCTTCACATTGATGTCAAAGATTCATTGCCACCTAAAGCAAACACTTTGCACAGCCAGCTCCTAGGTTTATGTGGGAATTAGTTTTCCATCAAGGGCAAAGTTGGATTTGATGTTTTTGTCCTTTAAGGAAAAAATATCATTTGAATACAGCATTTTGTATTTACTCAGGTTTATTTGTTAGATATTGAAGTTCTTTGATCCGAAACATTTAAGTGTGGCTGGAAAAAAAATCATAAAATAAATGATTTTCCACAACAGAGTAACATGAGAAGAGAAACAATCCTAAGTCACAGTGTATAATTCACTAAAGCACATAAATGTCAAATCTTTAATCCAAACCTTTGTACAAGGCAAACAGGCCCCCATTTGCCAGTCAAGTTTTACAGATGCATCATCTTCCCCAATCTATGACGATTGTGGTACAGTACGTACAAACACACAGGGCACAAAATAAAGAGGCAGAATCAACACATTTAACTGAATTACCCAAAACAGAAATGTTTTTTAGGTATATTAATGATCTAAAATTTGATGTAGCTTCATACTGAGAATAACTGTTTTTCCTTTTTTTTTCTGTTTAATGTAAAGAGGCTCCATCATTCATAACCATGACTAAGTGCTGGTTGCTACACTCACTCATCTTGCAGCTAGCTCCAGGTCAGTACTCCCCAACCACATTATGCAATGTGAACCCACCGTTATATATCTTTTGGAGCATTCTATAATCAACTTCTGTACAGTTTACAATTCAAACATAGATTCCAGAAATAATTGGGAACTGTAGGAGACAAAGATCATTAGAAAATAGGATAAAATGTTGCAACTTTGGCTTGTTTTATATGCAGTTCATTAAGCTGCACACACTTTTTTCAAGTTTTCAATAATGTAAATACCATCAGCTCTCATATAACATCCATATTTAATGGTGATGTTTCACAAGTCCTTCAAAATCAGTTGTTTTTATTTGCTGTTGTGATAAACTTTTCATCCAAATGACTGCCTAAATCCATCAGATAATATGTCAAAACTGCTCAGGACATGGTAATGCTATTTGATTGACAAGGAATATATTTACAACTTAACCTTCACTAAAGTAAAAGATTAATTAGTATGTAAATCAAATTCCACACAGGTAAAAAAGGTAATAAAAAATCTAACATCTATTGGGTGCCTGATATTTCTAAAACTTCTATTAAAACACATAACTAAGGAACATTTAATCTTTTATTTTCAGGGACTTGTCAAGCCAATGCCACCACAGTAGCTTCATACAGTTAGGTTATGCATATTTGATTGTTTTCCTTTTAACTTTTTCTGCCTTTTATGTCTCCTTGTATCACATCAAGTTAATGGGAACGAAAATGTTTGTATTTAAGGATCTTAATAATTTTCAGACCCAAATCAACTGATAAAAACATAAGTAAAGAAGCCATTGAACAAAAATGAATGTAGCTTTTTATACAATTAATTGATTTAGCAAACAGATTATTACAGATTTAGTTATAGTTTTCATCTTGTGGTAAAGGTGCAATCACAAATCCAGATACTGTTTCTAGTTTTAATCACAGAGTTGGAGCATTTCATATTGCTCTCCCTTAGTGAGAGGAGCTGAGGTGTGAAAAGAATAGCAATGACTGTGAGGAGCAGAGGGGAGCTGAGCTTGTTTGTGTGTGTGTTACCGCTGGGAAGCATTAAAGCAGCAAGGGTGCTGCTTAATGGAAAAGAATGAACTGTTTTCGATGGGAATATGTGTGCTTGTTGCTGGAGTCCTGTTATGTTTTCCTTTCCCCAAGCACATGCACTACTACCAAGAGAAATATATGGAGGAAAAATAGAGAAACTATTATACTACCATAAGGTAGACATTTTTCATATTGAAAATAACATATGATAATTACAAAAACCTACTAAACAATTCAACCTGTATTACAGCATCTTGTCTTTTTAGAAGTGAAAATAAATACACAGTTATTTTAACAATAGCACATATACTGCCAAAATATTAAATTACATTATTTAAGACAATTCCATAAGCATCATACTTGTTCACAACCGCAAAATAACTGATGGATGGTATTGCACATTATGATTTTAAAGTTTTATTTTTTTATTTTTTTTAAAGATAATCAATTATAACAGAAGTCCAATGTTTTTATTATGTCTCTAAAAGTTATTCCCTAAGGGGAAAAGACATGGCAGTGGGAAATGTACTTTAGATCTGTCAATCTAACATAAAACAAAATACATTTTCAGATAAATGGCATCCAGTTCATATAATTCCTCCTGAAGCATCCCTTGATCTTTTCAGTTTGCTTTTCTATACAACAGTACAGTCAGGGATCATTGATGCTGAAATATCTCTTTACAACGATGACAATCAATATTTCATTAAAAAGGCAGCAGACACTACTTTAGAGAACTGCAACTAATTTTGGAGATATGAAGCAGAAATTTACAGCCATGCACAAACATACTCTTGTTACAATAATTTCCCAAATCTGAACTATGTTAAAACTTTAAAGCTTTTTAGACAATAAAACATTTAGCAACATTTTTGATTTGATATTTAGACTGTGATACTGTGACACCCCACAGACGTATTACCACAAGTCACAATGTATGTCTTTCCAATTTTTCATTTACTAAATGGTTCATTTTGTAATTGTTTGAAATTGTTAAATGGGGTTATGTGGAATAGTTATCAGCAGTTTGTATCTTACATTATGTAGTAGACTGTTCTCAAAATGCTGCTTGTTTAGATAAAGAGCGATTAGTCTTGTCTGGAAAATAAAGAAAACTGTGTGCTCAGTTTCCAAAATACAAATACAGTCTGGTTTCGTAAAGCACATTTTTTCATTGCCAGTCCTCACCTTTATCAGCTTGAAAATCTTTAAATTATGCTTTTTTTCTATTAGAATGGCCATCTTATTCAATTTAGTTGGATAGAGTCAATTCAGAGCAAATGTTATGTTAGAACACTTGATAGTATAAAATACATTCAATTTAAATCTGATCATATCAAAATCTATATAAAAATCTCTCTATATTTTTTTTTTTATTAATATAGTACAATCTAATTCACACAGTCTTGACTTTCCAGCAATCTCTATCCCTGAGCAATTTTTTGGGACACTGGAAAAAACAACTTTATAGTAGGAAACATGCTGCTGGCTCAGTTTGAGTGACTTTTAGCATAAGAATCTATGGGAATTCACCTAAAGATCGCAATCAGCCCATAATCTCTTACCAGTTTAAAATACTGGTTACAGAGCAGAAAGCGTATAACATAACTAGACATAGAATAAGAGTTTGGAGTTATGGTCATTTTCCATAAGTGCTTACACACCCTGGTATGGGTTGGCTCTTTTTTTATGATTTTCCTGTAGTAATGGTTAAGCGGAACCATTGCTAGTTTTTGTACCTGTTTGCATAAAAGCATAAATAGTCAAATTAATTGTTTTAACAATTACATCACGTTACACTGGGCTTATTGTGTATATGACCAAAATATCAAGCCAACATTAAGTAAACTCATCTAGCTCTTATTCTTGATGGCTTCCCTTTCTGTCTTGTGCTTATCCAGAATCCATCCTCTGGCATCTGCAGCCTCTACAGTTCTCTCCTTTTGCTGTAAGTTTGATTAAAAGCCATAAATGGTGCAGAAGGGCCTCCGTTGTTGACTTGTATTTGTGTAACATATGGACAGTGAAGCCATCTTGCTATGAATAGCTTATTCACATTGTTGCAGTACCCACATACCTATGGACAGAACGGTAAATCGAAATGAAACAAGGCAAATAGAGTTACAACCATTGGAAATGGGCCATAAGTCTAAAAATCAAAACAAAAATGTTCAAATGAGTGGCTAGAGACATTTAATCATTAGAACCCATGCTTATAGAATATTAGTCTTCTTTGAGCCATAGAGTTTTGGGAGTTGTTTTAAGCGAAAAGGAATCCACTTTGGTTGGGTCTTTGGGAACAGTAAAAACAAATATGTTTATTTGGGTTTGATGCTAACAGCTTCCCACTGTCCACAAAACCCTGTTTAAATTCAAACAGTGTCTTTAAAGCATGTCAGTATGCTTGACTTTTTAAACAGGAGCAGTATCAAAATTAACAGTACAGAGCATCTTTTAATTCAGTCATCTCATTGTAGAGATATTCTGTTCAAATTAAAATACCTATTCATATTTTTCTGTATTATTTATTTACCTGTAATAAACACATTTTATGAAGAGCACAGGTTCTTTTATAATAACCACAACCTCAACTGTCTTATACGACTTTCATGTGTACAGATAAATTCATTAAGTTAAAATCTAAAGTGTAATTAGGATGTTAGCTGCTATCTTTCACAGTTAAAAACCTTAAGTCTTTTCACACCTATTTGATGGAACCCCACAGGCCCTCTAAAAAGCATGTGGTATTTTTAAAAACCCTATGAAGATTGTTGCTTTTGTATAGGCAGGTTAATTCTGCACACACTGAATCTAACACTGTATTACAGGGTTGGGGTCGATTCAGAATACCTTGATGGATTACAGTTATCACAAATAACACTACAGAAATAATTATCAGAGAATTAGAGTACAGATAAAATTAATAGGACACAACGTTAGATATATATATTTTCTAATTTAATTTCTTAGTGGAATTGACCCCAACCTTGCCTAAGCCATCAGTCTTTGTAAAGTGCACACTGTTTCCAGGGAATCAAATAGAAAATAAGATATTTGAATGACCTTAGCCAGCTCTTATACAATGTTGTTTGTAGGTCTCCAGGCTGTCTGTTTTGTAAAAGAAAAAGAAAACACATATAACATTTTTACCCATTGACTTTCTATGCTGTTGTTTCTGTATAAATGTTCTACTGTTCAGTGCATGTTGTAACTTTGGCGTTGTGACTGGTTGTGATTCACACAGAGCCAGTACCTGTCATGTACAAAAAAAAGTGTCTGAATGTCCTAAGATATTTCTATTTCTTAAGAAAAAGCATAATTTCCCTTGAATGACTCAAAATGAAATAAATCGAATCACTTTACAGTTTGATTTTTGTTTTCTTTAATCTCATTGCAATGTTTATTACACATTGTTAAGACAGCGGAAGTCCATATATACTGTAAAACTCCCTGCATAATTATAATAAAACAATTTATATGCATGAAACAAGTGGAGCAATATGGCAATTGCCATACTGCTACACTTGTGAAAGTAAAATCTGTTGGGCTCTTTTTGGCATCAAGACAATTATTCTTATTGCCACATTGCCAGACAGGACACTGTAAAAAAAAAAAAAAAAAAAAGAAAGCGGAAGTCTAGGAAAGAATAAGGGAAAAGGTTAAATCGATGAAGCTGAGGGATGTTGGGCAGGAAGAAGCTTCCAATCTTCCAACATGTCTCCTTACACCATTGCATTGAGGGTTCCCCACAGCCTGCCAGTAGAGAGAGAGGAGGGTATTCTGCAGAAGGTGGTTTGGTTGGGTGGGAGGAAGGCAAGAGTAACAAGAGCTGTTGTTAAATCGAGTAAAAAACAAGGCTGCCATCTAGTGGCACTCCATTTTACTCATGATTGCAGCAAAAAATAAGATTCAGATGAGATTTCTGGAAAAAGAGAGAGAAACTGGAACTGCAACCCTGGCATTTCCAATGACCCACATATTTGTACTCTATCCACCAATGGGCTTCTCAAAATACAAACTGAGGAACTGAAACATGTAGAACGTCTGTTCTGGATGCCTATGAGAGGATAATATGATTAAAAAAAATACCTAGCAGCAAGACAGAGTAAATAGTTTTATTATGATTATGCAAATACAGTTTCTAGTAGTAAACAGGTAAGAAAGATACTAACTTGGTATTGAATCAATACTGTCCTGGTGGGACTGATACAGCCAGGTCACCAATGCTGCAATCCCTGCTCTGTCTCAGCTCAAAAAAGGGTTCAGGGCCTCCCCTTTTCATTTCATCTACATAGGTCAGGGCCTACAGTGAGGTTTCAGGGAATTTGTCTTATATTTTATGATGAGATTTTTTTTTTCTTTTGTTTGATGATTTTTTACACTTTGTAAACATTGCATTTTTGCATTATAGTTTCTCCCTTTTAATTGGCTCTCTAATTATAATATTTTGCACACATATTCCTTTTGTTTTCTATTATTTCTGTTTATCATAAGTATATTGTGTTATTATAGTAGTCACCTTTAAATTGTGTCTAAATTGTTACGTTTAAACAAAACAATCCAAAGGAAAGCCCACAAAAAATATAAAAGTACAATGTCAGTAGTGTATTGTTATTAATATGGGTATTGAGGACACTTGCCCTATATTTACTTGGTATCTGATTGATACCAAAATAAGCAGTATTGCACAACTTTACTGAAAAATTATTTTTCATGGCTTTTACATTAGCAATGCTAAATATTAACAAGAGGATTGTCCCATAAGAATAACATGTTTTGTTGGACAAGGAGCTGATTATGGGGAGCTGGTAAGCCCCTTGATATGGTGTGGAAACAATAATCTCATTGAATGTGGACAAAACAAGTGAATGATTGTAGATTTCAGAAGAAACAGAACAAGTCAAAAGCCATTAACAAGATGTGAGAAGAAGTGGTGGTGAAGAAGGAGTATTAATACCTCAGTATTTACTTGGACAACAAACTTGATTGGAAACTTGCAAGCACAACTGTAAGTACAGGTCATTTACCAGAAGCTTTGGTCCTACAGTGTTTGCAAATGCTGGATATCTTCTATAAGTTTGTTGTGGAAAGCATGATCTCTTCTGCCATCATCTGCTGAGGTAACGACATAAGAGAGAATGACTTAAAGAAGCTCAACAAGCCAATAAAGAAGAACTCCTTTAGAACATCTAGCAATAATTTTATAAAGAAGACATGTAGAACATTGTGGACAACAGTTAGCATTATGGTTTGCTGAAAGATCAACAAATATAATCAGTGAAACTATAGAATATAGGTTTTAAATTGCTCTGGTGTTTAAACAGCTGACGACCCTGAGGACAAGCCTTTGACTCAAGTAAGTAACCATGGTAACACAATTTTAGTTATACATTGCAACAGTTGCTAAGAGAAATCAGAAGAACTGGAGGAAAAATTAAACTTTGCCTTATCTATCTTTACAATATTGTAATTTTAAGTCTAAATTTATTAAGATGTAAATAAACCTACAAAAGATGATTATCATTAGTTTTGCTCCAAATTTGGATAAGATCCTTAAAAACAGGCCATAAAATAGGAAATTTAAAAAAGAAAAGAATGTTTTTCAATTTGTAATTAACTTGTTGGTTAATTTGATTACATTTTCTCTGTAAAATGTCCTTGAGAATTGAGATATGTGTTGTGAATTAGCGCAATATAGATAAAACTGAATTGAAATGTTGTGCATGTAAAAATGATTGGAAATTCGCTCTTTACTTGCCTTAGAAAAAACAGGTGGAACTAATCCTATTATAATCTTGCAGCTTTTCTCTCTATCTTTATAAAAGGAAAAAAATCAAGAGCAGGCAGCTGGCGTTCGACACACAACTGCCCCACCCTCAATTGCTGTCTGTATGTTCCCAAAGCGGTGGCTGCCTTTTGTCAGAGAGGTTAAGTGAAACTAAAAGCACAACCTGCACAAAAATAAAGATTAGACAATTTTCAAAAAGTCCTGCTAACTACATATTAATTGATGATGGTACTGCTGTCAACGTCACTTTTTTTTTTTGGCCCTATGGTTGCCATAGCCACCAGTTGCAATGAGAGCTGGTGCTTTAGACGATGCAGAAATGAAAAGAGCATGAGCTCAACATTCCTTGTAATGTTCAGTTGATTTACTCTTGAAATGGGTATGTGCTGAAAAATGGTTTAAACAAACATAGCACAAATAATAGGATAAAGGGAAGAATCAAGTAAATAAATGGTTTCAGATCAGTATTTAAGTGTTACAACAGCATACAGGGGCTTAAGAATGAATGCATCCTTTGATAGATAGATGCATTTTTTTTTTTGTTCTCTGTGATGTTTTAAATCATTGTTTTTGTACCAATATATATATAGTTTTGAAAAGGTTAATTTATCTGTCAATGGAAAAAGCTATTCAAACAAAGCAGGCCTCATGTGAAAGTCGACCTGGTCCGACCTGGTCCATCACATTTTTAATGCCAATTTTGACTTTCTCTTTAAAATGCTCTGTTAGATCTACTCCTGATGTAATTGGTAGTGTACCTTTCAAAAGAAATTTTTATTCACACATTATGACCTTCCTAACAGTCTAGGCAACACCTGAAACTTTTTTCTGATACAAAAATTTACTTGGTTATCTACATCATTTAGATATGCTCCAATTAGCAATATATATATATATATATGCTGAGATAAATATGCAATATTACAACTAAATATGCTAAAACTGTCATGCATTTTGCATTTCATAGGGAATGTGTTAAGGTATTTTTAGTTCGATATTATATTCTGCTTCAGATTTTGCAGGGGAGGTTCTATTTATATGATCCCTCTGGTTGTAATAATCCTTAAGCTGTAGAGGCTGAAAAAAAGAAATTACTCTGATAACTCTGTTTTTTGAAAGTGTAGCTTTTTATTTATTCATTTTTAACCCCTTGCTGTCCAATAATTCTCACGATTGGGAGTACATACATACTAAAGAGGATTGGCCCTAGCACTGATCCCTGTGGTAGTCCACATGTAACCTGGAGCATGTATAAACAAACTAAAATTTGTATATAAGATAAAAAAGATTTAAACCAGCCTATTGCTGTTCCCCTAATTACTACAAATGCTCAAGCTTTTCCAGAATATTATGATCGACCGTATCGAATGCAGCAATGAGATCTACAGTAATAGGACAAGTACAGATACAAGTCCATTATCTGAGGCCATGAGAATATCATTACTGACTTCAACCAGAGCTGTTTCAGTGCTATGATGTCTAAACCTAGACTGAAAATCTTCACAACGTTCATTACAGTGTAATTGGTCACACACTTGTTTACCAACTATTTTCTGAAGAATTTTAGATAGGAACGGAAGATTAGATGTAGGTCTATAAGTGAATGTTATCTGGCTCAACGGACGATTAAGAAAACATTTAATTAATTTTAGCTAGCTACTGCATTTCCTTTTTTCAAATCAAATCTTATCAGACACTCTCTTATAAACAGGTAGCGAAGTTCTTTTTAACAGTTTGCTTGCTTTTTAATCACAGTACAAAAACATAATGGAGGAAGAAAACACCCCCAACTCTTAAAAAAAAAAGAAAATAGATGAAAGACGAAAAAGCCTGAACAAATGAAATAAAATGTAATACTTAGTAATGGAAATTTTAGAATAACTTTATGTTTCATGCTCCAAACATCTAATATTTAAATGCAAGACCCCCATAAAATAAACAAAATTAGACAAAAACAACAAATTAAAAATAATATATAATTCATCCACATACATTATCCAAGCAATAATTTGCCATTGGAAGATGGAACATAATATCAACATTGTGATTCGGTTCAATATAGAATTTCTGTAGGCAGATATTCTGTTTTAAAACCACTAGAGACAACAAAATTACAGGTTCATGAATCAGCAGATGGTAGAAAAGGAGTACAAGAGAGCAGAGGTATTTGTTTGGTGCCTGTTAGCACAGGAGTTTAATTACCATTATGGGTTATGAACAGAGAAGGGAAGATGACATTAGGGAGAAAAGGAGATGGGGGCATGTCACTGCCACACACAGCAGGGACCATCACGTTACATATCACGCTACATTTAGTTATTATCTTTTTGGTTGTTTATAGAAAGCACTCTAGGAAAATCAACAAATGTTCATTAGCTGCACCCTAGAAAAAAAAGGAGGCCCAAACTTTACATTCCATCTTTATCAACTAGCTCTGTGGGAATAAAGAATAAGACATGTTAAAATATAAGAAAAAATAACTACCCCTCAAAAAAAACAATATTCACAGTTTATTCACTAAAGAGTTTTTCATATACACTCAAAACAAATCACTGACTAGGATGCAGCTACTGTTTCAATATTGAGAAGAAAAAATAATGTGAACAATTAAACAACATCAATTAGCTACTTCTATCAATCTTGTTTAACTGTGAACATTTTGTAACAGTTATCTTAATACTTCAGGGCCCACAGTGGGTAAAGCTATCTGTAGCAATCCAAAAGAAGACAAAGAACACAGTGTGGTGAGTTTTCTCTAGTGCTTTTACAGACAACCAAATCGGATCTAAGCCGTACTATCCAGAGTCTGTGCCAATGTGTTTGAGTTAGCCTGTTTGAGGTGCAGGTCACCCTCCATTTCTTGCTTGCCACACCTGGAGAAGAAAGAACAGATTAAGTTTTGCTGTTTGATCCAACAGTATGGAGGGAAAAAAAAAGTAAGCGTTAAAACAAAAAAAGAACAATACTTTAAAGATATTCTTTGCTTAAAAAAAAAGCAAAAAAGAAAAAGATGGAAATATTCTAACATTGTATTCTTAAAAAGGAATAGTGGAAGATTTTAGCAAATTTTTGAAAAGACCTGACCTCTCCACTTTAAAAAATGCAAATGCACAATCCTGTACCCGCCCCAACGTCTATTAAGCGCATGTGAGAGCATGCACAGGCCCATTTCTCCTCGTGCACGCCCTGCTTAAAGGGGAATGCCGTTTTTTTTTTTTACATTTGGCCCTTTATTTTGCGTTATTACATCATGTTCTACTCACCCATAAGAGTTTTGTGTCATTTGGAGCTGTAACGTCTTCCTATGGGCTTCCTATGAACTGTTCATAATTTATTCTTTATGGTACGCCAGCATTCATAAACTAGGCTAATCACTGGCCCCCAGACATCTGCGCTTATATTTTTTATATTTATATGTTTTAAAAACAAAGCGGCGCGTGTATGACGTCATCTGCGCATGCACACTGGAGTAACAGGCAACCCGGGCCACCGCCCGCTATGCTCTACCCCTTCTATTCATTCGGCTAGCTAATCTGAATCGTTCAATTCCATTTCGAGAGCAAGATCATCTGTGCTTGTAGCACTAGACATCTTCCAGGCATGTGAGTAAAACTAGCAGCAGTTCAGTGGAGAGAATGAATGAATGGTAGCCAGCACGTGCGGATTATGTCATACACATGCCGCTTTGTTTTAAAAAAATAGAAATATAAAAAAATATAACCGCGGATGTCTGGGGGACAGTGATTCGCCTACATGTTATGAAGGCTGGCGTACCATAAATGATAAATTATGAACAGTTTAGTTTGTGCCTTCAAGTTGATTGCCCATAGGAAGACGTTACTTGGATATACCGGTAACCTAAAGGAATATCTTCAGAACAGCTCCATCTGACACAAAACTCATATGGGTGAGTAGAACATGATGTAATAACGTAAAATCCAGGGCCAAATGTAAAAAAACTGCCGTTCCCCTTTAAAAGTTTCTGTTTAAATCACTCTTAAAGTTTACTTTCCAAAAGAAGATTTGCAATTTCTCCACTATGTCAGACTCGGGTGAAAATGGGGATGAGCACGTAGGACGGCCTTACGTAACATATCACCGGAATAATTGACAATTAGGAGGACCACTTATTTTGACGAATCAACCGGAAAAAGAACGTCCTCCACTATACCTTTATGGTTTGTTTGATTTCTTTGCACTTTTCAAATCAAGGTGAAATAACATTCAGTTAGAATGCTCCAACTTCCAACAGTTTATTATAAATTGTTCAGTCCACAGCCAGCAAATATCTAATTACATACAGGAATAAGTTAAACCTAAAAACTGCAAACCTTAACACAAATCTTCTCACCTTCAATATATCTTTATCTAATGAATATTTTAATTACAAGCATGATGATAGTTTTACTGTCTAACAAACAGATAAAAGAAACTGGCCACATCTTTACATCTTACCCTGAAGCTGGTCCATTCCCTGTCCTTTCGTTTGGCTGCTGGTCGAATTCGGACAGCAACTTCAATATATTCAGTGCAGCCTGCAGACATTAAGACGTTATATTTATTACTCTTTAAGTGTTAGAATATACTCAAGTGTTTGTGACAAAGATAAAAAAACAAACAAAAAAAACTTTAAAAGTGCCTCATATTTGTATGACCATAGGCTTGTATCAATAAGCAACAAAAATATATTCTGTCACCTAATGAATATCCACAAGATTTTTCGATCAATCTGCAACATTCTGGTCTCAAAGCAGCTAAAAACCAAAGATTTTCAGAAGTTTCACTGGTTTGAACAATTACACCTAAAACTGCTCTGTGTGTTAATCTGTAAAATACCTTTGCTTCATATGATAGCTTGCATAATATATTATTATCCCTTTGGCTATGTCCGAACATCCGCCATAACCCATTATATAGAGCACTATATAGTGGTTACACCATTTTATATGAGTGGCCGAATGTCTATAGGATGAAAGAGTACAACTTCCAAAAATACACCTTGGGAAATAGTGTACATCTATGGTCACTAGAAGAGCAGATATATCCCAGCATGCTTTGCAAAAGCTCTCATCGCAAAACAACATGGGATTTGTTTTGTGGGCGGGAGAGGACAAAGATGGCGTAGCGTGACCAACAGAGAACGAAAAGTAGTGATCATTTCTTCAAATGGTCAGTTAACTAAGTTCACTATAAAGTCCACTATATAGTGCCCTCTCTATATAGTGATTGAGGGGTTAGCCCATCGGGAACAGCGTTTATATTGCCTAACATACTTCGACAGAACAACAAACTCAATTTGAATGTGATCATCTTCCTTATGCCTATACATTGTGCATAAACTAAGTTGACTTTGTCATTCAAACTTCCTGTGAATTAAACTGGTTCCATAAAAAAGGTTTTTCTTTGATTATCATTTCTGGTCTTATATTTTATGATATAACTATACTTAAAAAGGCAATAAAAAACATTGTTACAGCTGCATCCATTAGAGGTGGGCAATTCCAGTTACTGAGGGCTGGAATCCTGCAACTTGCAGATTCACACCTCAGTTCCTTCTGAGTCCTCTCAACCATTTTATTACTTGATTCAGGCGTGTTGAACCAAAGTTGCCGGATACCGGCCCTCAGGAACTGGCCACCTATGGATTAGGGGAATCCTTAGCTGTTATAAATGTTTTCTGGAAATCTTCCTAGTCCTAAATAAAGATTTCTTTAATAATCATTTTCAAATTACCAACCATATCATGACAGGATTCTATATCTTTTCCAATGCCGTGACTGATGAGTGGAGGCTGGGAGGAGCAGTTTATCAGAGATACAAATTCATTCTTATTGTTTTTGGGGAAATCCTTGTATTCCACCTGCAAGCAAATGCAAAAAAAAATTAAATTAAATAAAAGTACCTAAAAGACATTCCATTCAGGCAATAATGTGGAGGAAGTGCTGTTACCTGCAGACCCTGTACAGATGCAAGATAGCTAAGCTGTTCAGAGGGTCTGGTGAGGGGTCCATGGGGCATCTGGGTCAGGTTGTTTTTGTTCTTTAAAATCGCCACAGCAGTCATAGACGAGCCAGCGTACAGCAGCTCGTTGGCAATGGTGGCAGTGACTGTGGCCTTGCCTGGGTTGGCCACAATTCGGCTGTAGTCCTTCAGCTGGGTTACTTGGCAGGCCCCGACTGCTTGCGCCACCTCAGGCACCATGGGCAGGATACCTGCAGGCAGCTGCTGGTGGCTGAGGTAAGGCAAGCGGAAATCCTCCTCCTTTGTACCTGACATTCATAAAAATGTAAGATGGTTTCAATATTTTTTAACAAATTGTAGAGACACTTGTAACAGATACTTACACACTGTCACGTCGTCTGTTGAACCTGGTTCAAAGAAGGTTACTTTGCGCCCCTCACAAGACTTTTTAACTGGCGCCTAAACAGAGAAAAAATATATACATTTGTTCTAACAAAATTCATAACATTAAAGAAAGAAATTTATTTTAGAGCCAGAAAACATAAATGATAATAGGGTGAAAAAAAATAAATCTTGCTCTGCCTGTCGACTTAAATAAGATGAGTAATTTTAAAACAGATTCTGAAAACAAAAGAGTTTTTATACACATGGCCTTCTAGAACAGAAAGGCACCACAATATGTGGATTAAAGCAGAAGAACACATCCCTTAATGGTAACAGGACATTTATTGTTTAAATAAAAAATAACACAACAGAGCACAAACTGAGCCCATCTTTTCCCTAAAGATATTTTTGATAAAGAAAGTAGATGAGCCTTGCAAATGTAAATTGGGGAAAAGGATTTTAGAAAAGGAGCGACCTAAGGTATGAGGAGGCATTACTGTTCATAACATTGTAATGTCAGACGGTTGTGGCGGAGCAGGCTTTACAATTACCTGCTGCTAATGTATACCTGTGTTATTAAAATCCTTTTAAGATACAGAATCTAAAGCATAAGCTTAAAGAGATTTTTTGTTTTTTATATTTAGATAGCTACGGTACACTACCACTACTGAAGTTAAAGCCTTGTAAATAAAGGTTGAAGGTAAAGGAGAGACATTTCAGTTTCTTCTAATGCTGCCAATGTACTTTAGATCATCCACTGCAGAGCTCAGGGAAAACACGATGTGCTGATGGTTGCGTACATCTGAGTAATCTTTGTAATAACTTGGTGACCCTCACCTGAATGTCAACTGATTCTGGGATATTTTTGGATTGTTTCTTATCACCCTGTGAGGTGATAGCAGTAGTATCCAAGAACATTCTGCTGGATTCTCCATCCCCTTTGGATACATCTGCATAAATATCTCCCTTGTGAATACAGCTGGGGCCATTATTATCACTGTTTTCTGAGGTGTTGAGTATGTAATGTCATCACTATTAGAAGCTGTTTGCTATCAGCTGTGTTTTCCATTGTTTTTTTAGACATAAATAACTCTTTACTTGGAGCATAGGCATGGATCAAACTAATGAGAGGTGATAATGTTGATCATTTGACAACTTAGCCATACTTTTTCTTCAGATTTTAGTGCTGGCTTGGGAGGTTGAGGCTGAGGCACTTTATATCCCAACAGTTCCAGCATTTTCTCAGCTGCGTTCCTCTTTGCCACCTTCTTACTCGGTCCCAGCCCCTCTGCAGTCTGGCTACACACAGTCACCTGTAACAGAACATGAATATAACTCAATACAAAGAATGATTGACAGAAGTTTTTATCCAAGCATTCCTCAACTTGCAGATGACAACCTGCATGACGAACTCCCTTCGCCGTGGCAGACCTCTTTCTGTCACCATGCTGTATTCTGGCTCCTTCTCCTTCTTTGCCTGCTGGATCTGAGCCAAGCGGCTGATGGGATTCATCCCCTGGCCATACTCAGGGCTGGTCTGCAGCTGTTGACATGATGGATAAATCATTACCTTATGAAGAACCTTCAGGTTTGCTCTGACTATTGCCAATTCCGGTTAAAAGTTGCCACACCTTAATGATAGATTTTGTTTTCTTTTTGATGCGCGGCAGCTTCTTCTCCACACTGGGTATGAGGGGGAGCCTCTTTAACTCTATCAGCACGGCGGCAGCTGCCAGCTTCTTTGCAATCTTTTTGCTTTTGCCCTCCCCCTCTCCAAAGAACTCCCCAACTGTAACACGCACTACAAAATTCTTCATATGTGGAGGCCCTTCTTCTTTTAAAATCTGCGTGAAAAAAAAAAAAGAAAATATCTTCAATCCTATTCCTACATAGTTTCTATCTTTGAAAATAAAAAAAAACCTTAACAAACCTCAAAGTTGACAGGTAGGTTTCTTTTTAGAGCTATTTCAAACACTTGGCTTATTTCGGATTTGTTCAAGTTCTCCTCCTCCTCAGGCTCTCCATTCATCTGTCAAAAACAACATTAAAAATAGAAAAGTTTTGAGTCTCTGACTTTGGATAAAAGCCTGTTCATGCTGAGCCTGCTCTACTTTTCTCACCACCGGCAACTGCTGCAGTATTGGCTCCTTCTGCATCACTTTCAAGGCTTTGACAGCAGCGTCATGTTTGGCCTGCTGCCGCGTCCGCCCCTTTCCAATAAACTGCTGGCTCCCGATGGAGAGCTCCATGTGGTATACTATTGGTCCCACTGGAGGAAATGGATAGTAGTACCTGGATACAAAAATAGTTTCTCTAATTGAACATTTACACTTAACAAAAATATGTTGTTTCCACACGACTAAAACATACTGTTGCATAGAGCGCTGGTAAGGTCCAGGAGCGCGAACATTGTAGTTGTAGTTTGGTGGTCTCATACACGGGTATGGGTCGATGGGTTTAAACATAGGTTTTTTACCAAGCTTCAAACAAAGTGCATTCAACTCCATACTGTGTGTACTGCCATCTACTATAAAGCAAAAGCAAGAAAAATCAGTCAGAATCCAAAGTTAATTTTCTTAACCTCTATGAAATCTATTATTCAGATTAGGATAAATCAAGTGGAAGAAGCCCACCTGGGTTCCTGCCTGTGTTTCGAGGTGATCTAACTGTGGGTTTGGGAAGTGTGGTCTCAGAGAGGGCAGATGCAGCAGCTGAATGCTGGGCTTTCTTGATACTGGTTCCCTCTGCCTCCCAGTGCTGATCTCCCAGAGTGAGCCTCACTGAGAAGATCTGAAAGGAATTACCTTCATTAGAATAATATGTACGAGGTCACAGACATTTATTATGTTGAACGATCTATACCTTGGAGTGAGCTGGTCCTTGCTCAGAAAGAAGCTTGTACTCAGGTTGGATCTTGTTAAAACGGGCTAACTCATTCACCAAACACATAGGGGTCTTCTCTTTAGGGTTTGCCATGTTAGATACTAAATCAAAACAAAACAAAAAAGTCACTCACGGTCACCCATGAATGTCTTTAACACCTTAAAGGGTATTTATTTCAGAAAATAAATTCAAGAATAATAACAAATCTATTCATTTCATAGTTATTTCAGGTGTTTAACTCACCAAAACTTCGATAACAATGGCTTATAACAAAGTACAAAATTAGTTTCTTAAGAATTTTAAATGTAATATAAAAAAACATTATTAGCTAAAAAATGTATGTTATCACAATGTTATAGTAGACGGAATGACACTAACCACAGGCATATAGAGATTTCAATAGTTCATATTGCTTAAGGTGGATGATTATAAAAACTCAAGTCATACAGAAAAAACAAAAAAGGTAAGCACAACTAGTTGCGATAGTAAGATTGTGTTAAATAGGTCCAAAAGTAGTACTAGCTGAAGTAAGGCCTCAAAATTCCCACCAGTGCATTTCAATGCAAAGCTACGCTGAAGTTAGACCAATAGGCTCATTTTTGTGAGCGTATCCGAGGCTTGACCGACTCCGGAGACCCTCGCCCAGGCTTCTGTCAGCACATTTCAGCCTATGGCCAGTTGTGCTGAGCGTTGTCAATATTACGCTGAAATTTGTCAATATGCTGACTTTTAATTAGCATAACAAGTGCAGAAAGTGTTATCAAACACATGTACCTCCTATTTGCATAGCGCTACAAAATTGTGGACAGCTTCATCTTTAGTGCACTTGCCAGCACAAAAAGCAAGCAAAAAAGAAAGAAAATATGTGCTGCAGTGAAGAAAATGATAAAAAATAAATAAATCTGTCTTTACTTTTATTTATATTTGTTTCAATGAGATGCACCAGCATGCTAAAGGAGATTAAAATATTAAAAGAATGAAACACTAAACGGAGAATCCAAACAAACCTGTGGTGGTACTATAGGGGGTGGCTGAGCCCGCGGGGAGAGCAGAGCTCCTGATGGGCTGGCTTGCACTCTCCGACGGTAGGGCACCTGTAGCACACGGGATGCTGTAACTGGGCTGCGGCTGCCCCATCTGCAGCGGGGCAGAGGCAGCAGGAATGGCGCTGGGCGGACACTGAAATTGGAGCTGAGACATCCTTTGTGCTCTGATGTTCAAGATGAGAAAACTGCAGAGGGTGAAAGATTGTGGTCCGAGGCGGTGTAAATAAAAGATCTACCAGGAAGACAGCGAGTAATAAAGAGATAAAAACACATTCCTGTAAAAGGGTTTAGATAGCACATATATCTATATCTATCTATCTATAGATAGCAAAACAATTTCCAGTTAAAGCAAATTCAACAAAAGCACTGGAGTTTTCCCATCCGTAAAATCCTACCATTGACTCAACCATAACAAGTTAGCAGTTTCAGAGTATTCGTCAGGATTTATTCAGGTCTTGAGGCGATACTTCTGGCGAAAAGGTTTGAATGACCCACAAATCTACAATCAGCTTTTTTATTCCATGTTACTATAATTACATCACTGAAAGTCGGCCTTTGAAAGTGTGTTAGTCTGTAAACTTAAAAGTCTAAAGGTGTGGATGGGATCCTATCACAGTAAGAGGGTTAGATTCACTGAGCTTCTTACAGCGATTTTACAGAGCTGTAGAAACTGTATGGACTCATGTTGCAAATCTTAACTGAGTTTAGTGATTAACAAAGCTGACTCAATGCTATCCTTACTATTGGAGATATACTTAAGATCTGTATCATTGCAGTAAATGGTTAATGGATGACAGCCTCACAGTAAAAAACTCCTGAAAATTGCTGTATCATTACTAATAAGTTAAATCCATATCCTAATAAATAATCAGAATTTGCTTTGTTCTGCAAGTACAGACCATTAAATTGGTTATTTATATTATCATAAATATGTTTTGTCATTTATTACTGCAATTACTTAAAGCGTTTTTCTTTACCAACAACTGTAGTATTTTACATTAAGGAGTTATTCGTTTGCATATATCCGGTGGCGAAGCTAGATAGGGGGCCTACCATTTTTTCCCTCTAATACAGACGGTGGCAGATTAACATTTTGATTTTTCCACATATTAACAATTACTTGACAACAAAACACTGTGGTTAATTATGCACATCAACATACTAACATTAAAGATAATAAGTACAGAATTCAAGCAGAAATAGATTTTGTGTTTTATGGGGTAAAGAGAAAATTGTGTCTCTGCAAGTCATCTAGGAGTCTTCAGTGAAATCATAGATACATATGATTATCTATGATAGTTAGATAAGTAATTATTTTAAATTACTAATAAAAACTTACTAAATAATCAATTTAAGTAGATATTAGTAATTGTAAATATCAATTTTATGCAGAAAGATTACTGATAAATGTATGTAAGGAATGACAATGGAAAAGATTTTTGCCCAAAACTCAGACCTGAAATAATTTTATCCACTATACCTTCTATCTAGAAAGCACGAGTGTTTGAATATACTCGTCTATCTGTTAGCAAAGGCTGTGGGAAAGAATAGTTTGTCTTTATCTAGAAAATATATGGATGTTTTGCTCGTTAATTTTCCTGTTGGAGTAATATAGATTTACCCTGAGATTTTGGAGCCAATGGTTACTGCCTGGCCACCCTTATAAACATGTTCTGGCTATGCCTCTGCATATATCTATTCCATTATCCCCAACATCCTTATCAATTACCCATCGGCTATGGATGAAGACACCCTTTATCAACTGGCTATCCTAATATTTCCCCAGGTACGTGTTTGGGAAGCGTCCAGGACTTAAAGCTTGTTTCATTGTGTTTATCTAATAATAGTCAATACACCTCAATCTCTCGATCTCTATTCTTATTTATCCGACTTGTCCATTAAAGGCCACCTTAAATGATTCTGTTCCTGGAAGATTAACCGGTAAGCTAGCCAGTTAGCCGATGCATGCAAATATCTAAACATATTCCAAAAAGCAACGTAAAGGGCAATACAAATAAAATACTAACAACATTTTGAATAATAAACCCGCCTGGATTTAGAAAGTACCATTGTCAACTAAAAACGTGTTTAGGTTTTTATTTTAAACCGGGCCGCCGGTTTCCTATAACCTAAACCAAAACATTTTAGCAAAGCAGCTTTCTTTCTATGGAGAAATCGGTGTTTATTATTCTATTTAGAAAGAAATTGTATTATTTCCAAACGGAAGTATTCATATAAAGAATAACACCTGACGTTTAGGTATAAATGTTCGATAATTCGGGTCTGATAAATGTTTTAATTTACCGCTGACTTTAAAGCTCAACATACAGCTATAAGCTAGCTTGCTACTGCCGACAACTATAAGCAGAAATGAAACTCACCTATTCGCTCCTGTTCTTTAGTTTTAAGTTAGTCCATAAGATCTAGTAGTTAAAAGTCACCCGCTTTTCTAGGTTCCTCTTTCAAAAGTGGGAGTAAGCTATTTTATTATAAGAAATGCGGGCGGTGAAGAGGATAACATTAGGACAGGGCAAACACTAAAGAGAATGGCACACAGGCTTAATTCTTCCCGGATGTGACGACATCAGACAGGAAGAACTTTAAATTAACCCCAAAATGATTAAGAAACACTTTAGAAAAATACAAACAAAACAGACGTGTTTATAGTTTTATTTTGGTTGCACAGGAAGCTCAAAAAGCAAAAACAAAATAACAAAAAAATCATGTTTAGCGTAACTATTATTCCAAATGGTAAAAAACCCACACAAACACTATTTAGCTCATTTAGTCTGATAAATAAAAAAAGTGGTCATCACTCACGATAATATTGATTCTACAGTCTATCAGTTGAAGAGGTTGAGGATAAGAGTCACTACTGAGGTGAGTGGTTCTATATAGGAGGTTATAGGTTGTATGCCTGACAGATATTCAGAGAATCTCTCAGCATTAGGTCACGCAAACGCCACAGTGCGTCCACCATGGTCGTGTGAGCTCCTTTGCTCTTTAGCCAGTGCGCAGGAAGCCGACTTTCCTGCTCTTTGGTCAGGTGAGCATCGCGTCTTTGAGCTGTAAAAGAAAAAAGAAAAATTCCTTAAACAATTTATTTGCATACTTTTATTGAAACGCTCTATACATTCATGTCACCACCATAGTCTTAGATTTCACTGAGGTTTTATATGCAGGCCCAACATCAACAAGCATATATTCAAAGTTTTGAACATCTCTCCCAGATCAATTCAGACCCTTCATCGATAAAAATATGACACAAATGCAGAGCTACTTAAGGTCTAAACACCAAGGTTGCTTATGGCTTTTTAATCTCTGATCCAGTGTTTCCATGTTGCACTGACTGCATATAGGGAGGCTACAACTGGGCAGGGTGGGCAGATCTGCACAGATTTATTTTCACTTCGGTCTCTGTGCTATACACAAATAAAAAAAAAATTCCCACATAAAACAAAAAAAAACCAAAACAAAAAAAACCAGCACATTTCATAAAGCAAATCCAGTCTGGAAAGCATCTCAAACCAGATCAGATATAGGATGTTCATATGCCTAGATTAAAAACATGAGATCTACGTCTTACGAGAAAAAAACCCCCAAAGCAATAAATGCAGTGGTTCATATACTGACTAGAGCAAGAGGTGATGGAGTTTATCTGGGTTTTTCTTTCTTATTTCCAGAGGTGATAATATGCCGCGCTTACCTGCTTTGTCTGCCCCTCGTTATTTTGTTTTTTTGTGACACTGAAAGGGGATCACTGTTTTACTATGAGGTTATTATTATTATTTTTTTTTTTTAAAGATTGATATACTGCACTTTCTGCCCCTTGGTATTTTTGTAAGGCTCAAAGAGGATCATTACTTTTTCCCTTTATTCCCTCCTGAATTCCTATCATGGGTAAAGTATTATATTTTTATACACACGATGTGCGATTCCGAACTGACTCTTTCCCTGTGTGATTAACAGATTTTATATATGCATTTTCCTCCAAAGCAGATATGTTTTCCTTTGTAACGACATCTCTCTTCCTGTCTGACCCATGAAATTGCAGCTGAATTGCTGCATAGTCCAACAAAAATAGACCTGGGGTCTATCTCAGTCAGAGACAGGTCCCAAGATCATGTTGGGCATCATCGCCATTAACTTTAAATGAGTACTAAACGCAAAAACCTCGTCCTACACAATTTTCTGTTGGATCGGGAGAAAAATCTGATTCGGTGTGCTCTGGCCTAGGACATGTCTGTCCAACTGAGCTCACAGGCTGGTTGGGGACGGCATTGAGAAGAGGCTAAAAGACCAACTCTGCAGGAGCTGCAAATATCTGCAGCTAAACTACTAGCATTACTATGGAATCTTACAACAAATTGTGTCTTTATGAAAGCAGCAAGGAAAACAGATGAGAAAAAAAAAATCATGCTGAAGGTAATTCAGACTTCAAATAATGTGCTTTCATCTAGTGAGACCAAAATCCAACTTCCTGGCTAACTTGCAGTTGATGTGTTGTAGTGTAAAATTAACATTGATCATAAATTGGAACCCATTAGCCTGATAAACCAGACTAAATGTGTAATTTAGTCTGGCCCCGATGAATGAGACATCGGAAGATTGTTGATAAAAACAACCCGCTGTTTTTCCAACCATGTCTGTGCCAAAAAATTGGCCAATGCTGAAAAATTAGCCAACAACCAATGAGTGCAACTGACTGTGATGTAGTAAGAGCGACAGAAAGCTGGTGGGGGGGTGTAAACAAACAGCATGTGATGTGAGCAGTGGATAACTTAAGATCATCGATTTGGACTATTGTTGTCGCTTGTGCAAAAAAGACATGCGAGTAGCCGGTGTCGTACACTAATGTACACAACTTTTCCGAAGTTCAAATCAACTGTTGTCAGTGGCAGAAAGATTACAGAAAGTTGTAGTGAACGTTTCGATTAGACCGGGGAAATCCAATCAAGTCTGTCAAGCTTGTACAATCCTGTTGAATAGACTGGAAAGAGATCTGCCAATTTATTGGAGGTGGATTGAAAACGAGGTCAAAGCAGGTTCCCCCCGCAGAACGAACAGCTGCTGAAAAGAGAGCTTGGGAGCCTACTCCCCCGAAAACACAGAGACAGGAAGAAGCTCCGCCACAACACAGACAAGCCAAGGATATTTATCGCTCTTCCGCGGAATATAGCTGAGGAAAGTTGATGTAATTTGTATATAATTAAAACCTGTGATGGCAAATCTATCTACTTAATTTTCTAAGGCAGTTGTGCACCGTAGCTTTAGTTAGCCTTGAAGTCTTACTTTGATGTTAACCCGTGGGCAAATGATGTCATCTACTCTTACTGTGACATGAACAGTGATGACCATTACTCGGACAGTTTTTCACGACGGTGTTGAATATTTCTCACTCACTCACTCTCTCCCCCTCTCTCACACACACAGGCAGGCAGCAAACACTCCCTCTCTGTCAAACATTCTCTCCCTCTAATCCTTCCAAAACTGATTTCAAAGCTGAGTCAAACGGGAACTGTTCAATAGTTGTTGCTATCATCCATGTTGTGCTTTCTCCAGCGTCGCGCAACTTTGTCGTTACGCCCTCAAACCCCCCCCCCCCCCCCCCCCCCCGCTTTTGGAAAGTATGAGCGATGCAAACAGCACATTTTAAACAGAGCCTCCGCGGGGAGAAATGGGCTTGTGCATGCTCTTGCACACGTTTAATAGGCGTTCCTACAGGGTTGTGCATGTGCATTTTTATTTTTAAGTGGAGAGGACGGTTCTTTTCAAAAATGTGTTGAAATCCTCCACTATATATTTAATATTCTTTCAGTATTTGACTTATAAAGGGTACAACAAAACACCTACGCTAGGGGCCTCAGAACAAAGGTCACAAATTTTATATTAAAATGTGGGCAAACCATGTTTCACTCTTCTTACTTTTTGTTTTTATTCTACACTTGATTTATCATTTTGTGGATAAACCTACAAATACCAAGGGCTATGAAAGGTTTAGCAAAGCACTGTTAGCAAAATCATGTAAACATGTAAAAGAAAACAGATATTTTAGTTCCGTTGCTCCAGCTAAGAAGACTAGAATGTAATTGGATCGTACAACCTAATCTTTTTTTTAAAACCTAAACAAGCACGGAAAAAGCACCTTTTAACATTTGGTCCCATTTGCTGACAGTGTTCGATTCTGAATTTAATCCCTCAATGTACTTCAGGTAGGCTTCTGAGTGGAGCACCCTCTGTGTTTTTGGTGGTGGTGCTACAAACATTGGAGTTGTAGGCTGCAAATGAGAAGGCTGGCCCTGTCCTGGATATGGTGGAGGAGCATGCTGTCCTGGACTGAACATCCCAGGCTTCAAAGAGAAGAAAAACAGTTTATTACAACATGGCTACACACAAAAAAAAAATCTATTTAATTGCATCTGATTAGCAATCATTTTGGAAACGTAGCCAGATTTTTATGCATTAAAGATGTTAAACTATTAATCAAGACATTACTAATACAGAGTGTTGCGCCGATGCCATTTTTTTGGCCCAGATACCGATACCTGGCTGTGCAGTATTGGCTGATAATGATACCATCTGTTTGAAATTTATGTGTTTGTGTGCATATATGAAGAACTGCATACTACTTGGATGTAAAATAATTGCCATCATGGCTTTGTCAATCTGCTGCTTACCTTTATGAAGCAGGAAAAAGACTAATACAAAAAGAATTCAGTAGAACTTTTTATTGCCTACCAGGATGGGTGACAATAGTTGAATAAACTTTTGGCTCTCAAAATGGTATTGGTGCCCTATTTGTCTGTACCCACTGATACAGATACCACTATTTTAGTGCAGTATCGGAGCCCCGCCCAATAATGGTATCGGTGCAACACTACTAATACATTAGATATAATTATTCAACAGAAATACTTTGTTCTCACTCACTTGTTGAATGAAATTGCTTTGCCCAGGACTTCCAGCCATGCCGTTCATACCAGCTCCCACCATACCTAATTTAGAACATAACACACATTAGATTTTAGAAGATCTATGGGTAAGTTTGTATTTCTGGGTTTATGTAAAGATCTTTAACTCCTTAAACTGTTAGTTTATCAACATCTGTTAAATGGTAGTTATCTGGAATCACCTCTAACATGCAATTTGTATGAATGTGGATGTTGTACATTAGGTATGTTAAGTCAGTGCATTTGGTTGATTATGAGCAAGGAGCTTCTCAGCTTTGTCTGCTTAGGCTTTGCAGCCTGTAGACCAGGTAAACCCCACCAGCAGGAGAGGCACGACCACATGTGACTGAGCAGGTGTGGCTAGGACAAGAGGGCCCTTACCCTGATGTGGCATGGCCGGGTACCCCGGCATGCCTGGGTGGAGATGGTGAGGAGGCAGGTTAGGCACCCCTGCAGGGTGAGGTGGCATTGGGGCCACACTCAGCAAACCCTCGTGGGGACCCTGCATGGGCATGTAAGGTGGGCCGTAAGCTCCCATCATGCCTTTAGGAAGAGGGTGAGGAGAGCACAACACATTCATGCTTAAG